CCGCAGCGCGGCCCAGGAGCCGGTGCGGCATGGCTGCGTTGTACGAGGTCGGCCTGGGGCGGACCCTGGCCATTACGCCCGCAGCTGGCACCCAACACGAGACTGTTGCATACGTTTCGCCGGCAACGCCCCCAGATGGTGTACAGGCCGATGCCATCACGCACCAGCCGGTGGCGCAACCGATTCTCTGTATTGCGGCATGGGGTCGCCTGTGGTACTGGTGCGCCTCGCGGGCGAACCAACTTATTCCGATTCGTCCGGGTGTGGACATGAGGAATCAGATCAGGTTTATCACCTGGGAGTAACGTAGCTGCATGTGCCCAAAAGTAATCATCCGATCTGAAATATCTTTTCCATTGTTTGGTGCAAGTGTTCTTGAACCAGATTGCGAGAATTGCGAAGGATGTAGTCACGGCTGATTCCTTTTCAACAAGGTATTTGACAATCCACTCCTGCACAGCCCCAAAAGTTCTATCGACAAGTTTCTCAGTACTAAATCTTCCGATCACCGGAAGGCCTTTCTTAGGAACAAACACTTCCCGCAAGAGCCAGAACTCCAGGTTCTCAAGGTCAGGTTGTGCAGACGCCACGGTCTTGAATCTCTCGCACAGGAGGCCATGAGTGTGGATGATCCACTTGTGAAGCTCTTTAAGCATCATGTTCAAGTCGTCGATTTCAAATAAATTTCCACTTGAGTTCAAGGGAACGGCCATTGCCATCGTCTCCTTGGGGTCCAAGGGGCCGATGATCAAACCACCCTCCGGGAAGCTGACTCCTTTCCTCGCTGGACCCATCCAGAAATCTTGATTAAACTGATATTTTCCAAGTCCTCTGATCTGTGGTTGAAAGGTTTGGACGTATTGCTCGGCCAGTCGAGCGTATTTTGGCTCTTTTCTTTGGTCAAGTGTGGCCTCGAGTCGGGTGATGGGTGGCTCAATTCCACTTAAGGGCGAAGGAATACCCTTTGGCTGATGTCGCTGCAACATCGCATTGAACTGATAATCCATTTGAGCCTCTTGGAGTAACTGTTTAGACGTGGGCTTTTCCAGAGAGTGGCCCAGGTGCTCCTGTTGGCTATCTGGTCCATTTTCCGGTAAATTGGCCTCTAGCGTCGAAGGAATATTCGGGTCCAAAGTATCGAGTTCGTTCCATATCAAGTCCCAATCTAGTTCCGTGAGGGAAGGGCCTATGAGAGTCAAGCCGGGCCCGGTGTTCCTTAAACCCAGAGTGGTCACCTCGTCCCGCTTGATCCTCAGCAGATTGCCAAAAGCTTTCCATGAGTCTTGATTGTCGCCCAGTTTCCACCTCCAGTCGGGCTCGCTTCGGCTCCCCGCCAAGCC